GCCAGACAATGAATCGGAATTGAATTGCAGACAGATAGCAGACGGAGAGATTGAAGATATAGACGGACAATTGAGTCAAGCGCGGTAGTAAGTAAAGTGCGTGAATTGTTCATTGTAGATTATAACGTGTGTTTAAGTTAAGATGACTGTGGAAATTAAGTGTATTGCTAAGTTGAATTGAGAATAATAAACTAGTTTTATTTGAGAAAGGACTTGTATCGCTGAAGTTCTTCAGAAAGAATTTTTACGAGTAATTAACAAACGACCAGAGACGTAACACTACTAATCAGTTTGTGTGTGTTTCCTATCTTCATATATTTCTGGCAGTTGAAGAAAAAAAACTTAGAAGGAATACATTGCGTTCTGATTTAAAGTAGAACAAAAGGAAATGATACCAAATTCATACACCAATTTGATTATATTTAGTCAAACTTTACAAGATGTACAAAGCATTACTCTAGTATTTCGTCACTAGTATAGACCTAAGGTTTGTCGTTTTAATGTTGAGTTCTATATTTTTTTAGGTTGTAGAATTCAACATAAACAAACCTTTCTCTACGAATTTCTGGAATATTTGGCCAATGAAATGATTCTTTCAGCCCGAAATTTATCTTTTAGGTAAGTTTTTGCTTTATTAATTATGACTGAAACACTTGACATGTTGTGAACTATATATATATATATATATATACATACTTAAAGGGAAATTGAAGCGTTGGCTATTTTATAATTCTACTGACATCATTGAGTATAGTTTGACATGACTATAGAGTTTTCATGTATATATACGGGCGAATGTTATTTGTGTTTTCACCTTTGGAGTTTAGTATATAAAATATTGTTAAGTTATTTCATGGAAATTATGAAGATATAACTATATCCATTTCCATTGATAGACGAATGCGATTTTCTATCTGCTCTTAGTCTTAAGTGTCTGGATGACTAAAGACTGAAACCAGCCGAGTTCTCAGAAATCCTTAAAAAAAAAACATGCTATTTACTTTTCATTTAAAACCTTCAATGTAATTTTTTAGTTTTTGTATTTGATGTTTAAGAATGTTCAGTTGTTCTATGCATACATGATTTTAATAGCGATTGACAATTACAGGATAATGAGACATGTTTCTCACTAATTCTCCCGAAATACTCTCGTCGTCTTATACAACAATACTCTCGCATCCAGACACACTATCACGCGTTAAATAATTAAATTAATATTCTAAGAAGTTTGAGTAGATAACCGGAAATTTATTCAGAGTACGAGAAAGTTATTATTAACCCAGACACGTGTGCATACTCATTAAAATAATATTTAGTATAGAAAAAAAACAAAAAACATTTGCCCCAAAACACTGCATAATTCGGTTATAACGTAAAAACTCTTAAATAAGATGCTTAACAATTTTTCTGGGACGCATGTTCAAAAATTCTATAAATAATTTTTTCGTGGCACTTATAAAAATAGACAAGAAACAATAAGTAAACTGGCTTAGCAGATATCTTGAGATTCGATTGAATTCCTTATAAGATGCGCCCATCATGACCAGGTGGTTAGGACGCTCGACTCGCAATCTGAGAGTCTCGGGTTCGAATCCCCATCTCGCCAAACATGCTCACCCTTTCAGTCGTGGGGGGCGCTATATTATGACGGTCAATTCCAC